CTTTAATCTCAGAATTCTGACCTTTTTTCTCACAATTCTGACTTCAATTTCAGAATTCAAAATTAATTCTGACAGATAACAAACAAGTTAGCATCAGGCTTTAGCAATGTCTGTTTTAGAGACTAAACTAGCTCTGTTGTTTTAATCACCTTCTGCTCCTCGATAAATGAAATAGCATCACCAGGGACCCGGCACCAGTGAAGCTGAGTGCTCCCACATTTCTTCCTTCATGGTGCCCATCTACATTACAATCCAGAATTCTGAGATTAAAGTCAGAATTCTGAGAATAAACTCAGAATTCTGAGATTAAAGTCAGAATTCTGGGAAAAAAGTCAGAATTCTGAGATTAAAGTCATTTTTTATTACTCCTTTATATAAAGAAAAACATCTGGCCTTTAATATTTAAAAACAAAACTATAAAAAAATAAGTTTTGAGGAGGAATGCTTTCTGCACCAGTGAGCAATTTAAATGTAAAAAGCAGGTGATTGAAACTGGAAAATATATTTATCCATTGATTAGTTTTCCTAGGAAGAATTGGTGACATTGATAATCATTTTAAATTACAGATTATGTTAGGTAAAATAAATAAAAAAGGGATTATAAGAATAAGTCTATAATTCAGCCTCAAAGTTAAAATACCAGGAAAGAGTTTAATCAATAACGATGCATAATACTGAACATTTCTAGAGGTTTTGAGTTTCATCAAAGTTTTATTTTTATTTTTGTCATACTCAGGAGGAGCTTTGAGGGACAGCTTGACCTGATAAACAATGACTTTGGGTGATTTTAATCCACGTCACATTACACCCCCTGCAAGGAAACTAGATATTTTTTTTTCAGCTCAAATAGAGAAGAAATGGAACCATGCAAATTTGATTTATTTAATGCCTTTCACCAATAAATGTTTCTGTTTCAATCAAAGAACATTGAATTTCCCATTGAAGGTAGAAAAACTTTTATAATGTTTATACACAACATTCAAAGAACCTGGTATTTCTACCAAGCATTGTAAATCTTTCCTAAAAAAAAATTATGCAAATGTGTTTGGCATTTACTTAATCATATTTAGTTACTTTGCACAATTATTTCATGTTAGCAGGGTGAGACATACAAAAAAAGTGTTAAAGTAACTAAATATGATTACGTTCATGCTGAAAACTGAGCTTATTTTAAGACGCCCTGTACAATAGAACCTTTATAAGCGAGCTTTGTCTGGTCTAATCTATATATTACATTAAGAGTTATGTTTTTAACCTATGAATAAAAAACTGTTGATGGTGTTGTATTTTAAAGTTTTTCTTTTCATGTGTGTTTTTGGTTTGTTTTGATTTGTAGGTGGTTGGCTTCGTCAGGAAATTCTAAAAAGCTAAAACCCAATATGTTTTTTTTTATGACAGGCCACGCAGAATTATGCGTTTTATTATGGATATGGATGGATAAATGGGTAATCACATTCTTAAATTGGACACAGTTAACTAGATTTCAGCACCAACAACCCAGAGAAACACACTGAATTATATTAATTTAATAATACATAATGAAGATTTTACCAAGGTATTTCTGTTTTTCTGGTCTGTTCTCTGCCTCAGTCAATTCAGACAGACTAATATTGTGTCAGTAAGTCAGTTATTGTATATCTATTGTAGAATAAAGCTTACATGATCAAAACTTTTATTTCATATAGACTCTTTATATCATATAAAAAAGGGCAGGTATCACCTGAATCCTGTGATGCTGTTTGATAGTTACCTACAGTTACCTACAGGTAATGTTATTACCAGGTAAATGTCTTTTTTAAATATTTCTTCTCCCTGTTCTCCTTTTAAGAAGGCGGGATGCTTATTCAGGTCTTCTGAATGTCTTCCAAGCTTTTTTCTTACCATTGTAAGAGGATTTTTAGTTCACTGTGTAAACCTATCTAAAAGGCTTTTAATTGAAAAAGACCATTTCAACACCAGGATGCTCTGTTAGCTTGATATTACACATAAAACTTCATTTGGATTTTCCACTGCAGTCCTGTGTGAGGTAGATTATTATTATTTTTTTTGTTGTCATTATTATTACTTTAACTCTTGTTTAAGTCTTGAGAGGCTGGCTGAAAAGAGCCAAGTGAGCCACAAGGATTATTTTTTATTTTTTAAATGATACATTAAAACCTAAAAGCGCAACAGAATCTCAGAATCAGCATCAAAATCAAGCGGCCAGGTTTGTGTTCCTAAACAGGAACTTGCTTGTGTTGAAAAGCTGTATAAAATGAAATAAAAATATACAATAAAAGTTGCTAAGTCTAAATGTCTCATCAAAAAACAACAGCTTGAACAACCTTGCAATATAGAAATAATATGACAATTTAAAAACATGATAATAACAGTATGTGCAAGTGAGCATCTCATCCTGTTTTTTGTAAGCTAAAGACAAGTTCTAGAAGTGTGATCAGTCTTAAATATTGTATAGCAGAGTGTGTGACAACCCTGGTTTTCAGGTGTTCATTGAGTTGGCAGAGACGTCAGTTTATCTTTTTTTTCACCCTGGACCTGCAGTAAATCTGCGCCTAATCACCCTCTCTGCATATTTATCTGTTGCATGCAGTTTGGACCTGTTCTGTTTTGTAGATGAGTCAAACCAGACAGAGATCGATCTGCACAGAACAGACTGAAAATTGGTGGTATAGAAGATGACATCACCTCTTAGAAACTCCCTTCTTTAATTATTTGCACAGACTGAAGTCTAGAGATGCAAGCTATGTTTTACCATAAACCACACAAACAACTACTGCAGCATTTCGGTTAAAGTGCTTTTCTTGCCTGCTGATCTGTATATTAATGTGTTGGTAAATGAGGCTACAGTATAAAACCTCTTGAGTGATTAAAAAAAAAAAACCTTTTGGTTTCAGTCCCTTTTACTGGAGAGGCTCATTTTTTTATTTTATAAATGTCATGCTCACTTAATAAAAGCATGTTAATTGATTGCTCTGCACCCAGAACCAACCAATCAGGGTTGGGTTGTTGAGAACAGCAGCAGCAGAGGGTTGGGAAAACACCAAAGTAAATATGTCTGGTTGACTATGACCACAGATTGCCTCTAATACATTTTTAAAGGTTGGTTGTAGCATCCACTCAAGCTTCCCTGGTGCTGCAGCTGCTTGCTTCCAATTTTGTTCTGCTTAAAACACACTAAACATTAGCTGTTATGTCCAACTTCAACAACTGGACAGAGAAAGAAAGTAAAATATTAACATTAGAACCCACACCCACCTTCAAACATACCACACGCAATCAAACAGACTATCAGCCCATCTTATTAAGTGGACTGGAACTAGCTGCACTTTATGCACACACTACATGCTACAACCCATTGTGCATACTGCAAACTAGATCCCATATTTTTTAAGTATGAAGAAGTTTAGTATCTTCTGTTTTCTATTTTCTTACAAACATTTTATTGCATAAATTTTGCACATTCTAAGCAGTCTTTGCCATAGTTTTTATTTGATTACATTATTAAAATTCTTGATTCTAGAAGCTGTTATAGTAGCACAGTGCTGTACGCAATGTGACAAAGCAAGTCTGCTTCTTCTGAGCATTAACTGTTGTTTTAGCTTCTTTAAATAATCTTTTTTCTTTTCAGTGTATCCAAATAGTTGGCTAAATGCAACTGGTTATGATAAGAGATTGTATAAAAATGTACAAAAATGAATAATTCTTACAAGGAGAAACTCTTAGAAGGTCTACTTTTCTGTCAAAATGAGAGGCCCTGACTCTGGCGCCTGCTGTCCTTCTCAGCCTGAGGCATGGCTGTGTGCACAGGTGGAGTTTACTGTAGGCCATCATCCCTTTAACCTGATCGCCATCCTGAAAAGCTAGCCCAACAGCTGTCCCTCTCTTTTGGAAGCATTCTTTTCCCACACTGAAAGTGTGTGTGCATGTGAGACCATGCATGTGTGCGCCTAAAGGGCACCCAATGAAACCCTGTCTAAAGCCTCAACCTGTTCCTTTGGCGATGATAATGACCACATTATCACGCGCCATCGAACATTGACAAAAAAGGTTGTTGGGAGCTTTCCAATCACTTTGTTGGTGCTGAGACAGAAAGAGCAGAGAGAAAAGAGTGAAATAAAGATCTGGCACTTCTCAGGGAGAGGGGTGGTAAAGTATTTTATTTCCTCTTGTTACCTCCCCCCGTCCTACTGTCCTGGTCCCTTGGGTTACTTTTTGCTGCTATCCTGATTGGCTGTCCTGCTGAGACAATTAGCAGGGGAATCAGAAGAGTCAAAAGACAATCTGTTCAGCTCAACATAAAAATATTCAGGGTGGTCAGGTGTTTGGTCCAATGCATTATGGTTGGGGGATTAAAAAAAGGGGGGTTACAGTGCTTTTCTTAGGTGAGGTGCTTCACATGTCACATTACAACCTTAACCTTTATGCATTTTACCCGCCTTTTCTGTGATAGATCAATGCATAAAAAGAAAGTCAAAGCTTGCATTTTCACTGAAACCCTTAAAAAATCAAGTGCAACCAACTGCTTTGATCAGTCAGTGAATTAATGAGTTAAGTTCAGAGGTTTGTTAGAGAGCATCAGAGAACAAGCTGTATCATAAAGTCCATGGAACACAGCAGATTGGTTAGTTTTGGGTTGTTTTTTTTAAAGCAGGGTTTGCTATTACAAGAATACTCCAAGTTTAGCAAACCCGATGGCCTACTGTTCAGTCAATCTTCTTAAAATGCAAGGAATCTCATTAATAAAGGGGATTTTCACGCCAAAAAAAACTTGGTGGAAGAATGTGCGGTCCCTCATATCATCTCTGACCCACCCATAGAGGGTACGCACATTTTGGAGAGAGGGGAAATTGGCGACACAGATAGTGACTAAAGGGAACTGAAGCCAGATTACATCATAATTTAACCCAGGGTTATATTTTCACTTCATATAAAACTTCCATTGTAGATCAACTTTATCAGATCAAAAACCTCTGCCTGATATTGAGAATTCTGACACTGCTGACCCCAGGGATTAAATCCGCTGGTCCGCAAACCAGAAAACCACTTGGCCTTTGGCTGCACCTAGAAATATATGCATTCTGATACATAGCTTAGTTCTGTTATTAGAAAAAGAAAATTAATAGCAGATAGAGGAAACACCATTTGAAGTCTGTCAAATGTCATAAAATATTGTAGAAGAAGTTTGTGTAGTCAGAAAACATAACTTGTGTGTGTGTGTATAAGACCCTATTTGATTCATAAAATGTTGCACACTATTGGAGCTCTCCATATTCAAGGTGAAATACGGTGTATGAAGAATCCTGCTGTGCGGATGCTTTTCTTTGAGAGGGGCAGGGAAGCTGTTTTGAGCTAAACACAAGTCAACCCCGGAGGAAATCCTATGAAAAAGAGTGACGCTAACTTTTGCATAGAAATGCATTTAACTACTGTAACTACCAGAGCTACAACTGTACGGTATACATCAGACCTAACTGAGAATAGCAAAGTCAAAGCCCAGACCTAAATTAAAGATTGTTTTAAGAATCAGATGGTGCTGTCATGGTGACTCACATTGAGCTACTTTGTAAAGGTGTTGTATAGGGGAACATTTTATAGCACTGTTGAATCACAGGGGGAAGCCCTCAGGTTTTCTCCAGGTGATAATTTCGGTCCTAAGTGGATCCAAGCGCATGCATGTTAGTTTGACTGGTTTGGGTTGCCCTGAGATGACACATGTGACCTATCCAGAGTGTAGCACGCCCAGTCTGGATACAGACATTGATTCCATGACCCTGCGAGTAGCAAGCAAGTAAAAAGAAAGGAATGGATGGTTAAAAACAACACTTTTTCTATGTACATATCAGTATAAATATACAGCCAGGTACCTTTATGAAGTATTATTATTTAAGCGTCTTTAACCCACTAATGACAACTAATGTTTAGCTGCTGGGTGTGAAATATTGATTGAAGAGGTACTTCCGGTTTGTCTAATTTGTCTTTTCATTTCTCCTAACTTGTAACCCTTAAAACAAACTGATCTTGTTTAACAGTTGAAGGAAGTCTTCCAGGTGAAGATAGTCCCAGGATGTGCCTGAAGCAGCTCCTCTTTTGCTTCCTGTAATTACTTCCCTGAGAGGGCTCTGTCAGCAAAGAGCTGATGGACGACTGCGACAGTGGTTGCTCAGATGAAACCATGGATTCCCATTCATTTAAAATCTAAAATAAGGAGGGAAAAAAGGGAATTTTTGCAGCATTTTATTAATTATTGTGGTCAACAATTTGAGGTAAAGGATTTTTTTTTTGCAGCAATATGTTTATTTGTTGATATTTTGCTCTTATTAGTAGCTGCTCACAGATGCACATACCTATAATGGTGATGTACTGCATCTCTCATTCATCTATGAGGACGTGAGGCCAATTCATTTACATCCCTGGATCGCTTCATTCACATTCATGTATGCAGCACATACCTATGAACCCAATCATGGAAAAAGAGGAAAAGATGAGAGAAAAAATGTAGAATTAAAACCTTTGCAAATTAGAGGCTGGACCTGAATTCAAACTGCGCTTTAGTAGCAGTGGGCCTTTTTTCCAACACTTAAGCACACACTTTGGTTGTTGTTGATGGATGCTTTTGGTTTGTTAAGTCATACATCACAGAGGTCATTTAAGCTGCCAACACATCTGCTCTCTTTGCCCGTAGAAGTAGAGGAAGAGGTGGAGTGTGAAGCAAGATTTATAAAGATGAGGAGTAGAATTATGCAGGGCCAGAGAGAATGAGACTGTGATTAGTACGGGGAGTGGATGAAAGGTTTCCATTCAGTTTCTACCACACACATACACACAAATACACAGTTGTGCCACAAATTTGTATATTTTATATTATAATATTTTCATTATCCCGCCTCTCGCCTGTAGACAGCTGGAGATAGGCACCAGCACCCCTCACGACCCCACTTGGGATGGGCATGTCAGAAAATGAATGGATGGATGGATGGATGGATGGATGGATGGATGGATGGATGGATGGATGGATGGATGGATGGATGGATGGATGGATGGATGGATGGATGGATGGATGGATGGATGGATATGCTTTCATTCTTAATTCTGTATTGTTTTTTGCATTACATCAATAGCCTTAAAGTGGTACTGTTCATATACTGTATCTTAATACACCTAAGGAGAGAAAAGATAAATACACTAATCCCTCTCAGACAATTATGATTTAATTTCTAAGAATAAAACTGTAAATATATATCTTGTAAATTTTATTTGCCACAAAGCAAACATCTGTTGTTTTTTTTTAATTCACAACTAAGAATTCACAAAGAGAAGAAAAAGAAATTAGATTTAGTGTGGTATGATGATTCTGGGCTTTCTTTGCTTCTTCACAATCTTGACAACCTGCTGTAATTGCAGGACAGAGATGGGAAATGTGGAGTCAACAAGTCATCTCTATGTCATGTATTTAATCTAACCAGCCAATTAGCCAGGTGAGTCCAATCTGCACAGGTTGATTCACTGTGAATATTGGACTCACCTGCTTCAGTGGGTCGGTAGATCAAATGTATGACATGGAGATGACTTGTTGACTCCACATTTCCCATCTCTGTTGCAGGAACTATAAATGTCCCTCTCTGGCAGAAAATTATAACTAACTAAAACAAATGTTTCCAGAGTTCAGTGTGTAAAACTGAGCAAGTGCTGCTGGAAAATGATTCAAACGACAAAAGCAAGAGATTAATCAGAAACTTCAGAGTGGCCTAGTCAAAGTCTGGACTCTTATCTTACCCTAATGGCATTGTGATACCTCAAACAGATATTTTGTGTTTGGGAAAAAAAAAACCTTCTGAAATTTAAATAGTTCTGTAGTTAGTCCTGTGATCCCCAAACACACATCTGCTACTCTAATGAACAACATTTGGCAAAACTGTAAAAAGAAAAAAAATATTGATCTGTTAAATGCTTTAAAAGTTTAAAAAAAATGCTTTTTTCTTAATAACCAAAGTAAAAGTTTCTCTTTTAAGTTTGCCTACATCTAAGGTGCTCTATTGAAATATAAATAGAGTAAAGGAAACCCTGAATGGCCGTGTGACCTAATCTCTGTTTAGTTAAGAACAATAAAATTTAAGTTAAGTTTTAACAATTCCTGTTAAAGAAAAAAACTGAACATTGCAAATTACAGTAGACAACTACAGAATTAACAGCCATATTTTCTTAAAGTACTAAACAGGAATGAAGAACTTCTTTAGGATCCACCTGACAGGTTATTTCTCTTTTTTTTTTTTTTTTTTGGGTAGGATGATGCGCAACCAAGTCTCTGTGTTATCCTCTACGGAAGACCTATTCCTCTACGCCTTGTTTTTATTCTAATATTATGTTTTGGCTAAACAACAAAAGAACAAGAAAACAAATGCATTTATAAAACAAAAAACAGGACAAAGAAGAGAATCAATAGAGCAAGAGATAATCCAGTGTTACAATAAACACATCTATATTTGTTGGTTCTATTAAAACTATTAAAGATTTTGTTATACTTTATTTTATTATACTCATTTTTATACAAGCTAAAAATGAGTAAAAAAATGCTTTTTTCTTAATAACCAAAGTAAAAGTTTCTCTTTTAAGTTTGCCTACATCTAAGGTGCTCTATTGAAATATAAATAGAGTAAAGGAAACCCTGAATGGCCTTGTGACCTAATCTCTGTTTAGTTAAGAACAATACAATTTAAGTTAAGTTTTAACAATTCCTGTTAAAGAAAAAAACTGAACATTGCAAATTACAGTAGACAACTACAGAATTAACAGCCATATTTTCTTAAAGTACTAAACAGGAATGAAGAACTTCTTTAGGATCCACCTGACAGGTTATTTCTCTTTTTTTTTTTTTTTTTTTGGGTAGGATGATGCGCAACCAAGTCTCTGTGTTATCCTCTACGGAAGACCTATTCCTCTACGCCTTGTTTTTATTCTAATATTATTTTTTGGCTAAACAACAAAAGAACAAGAAAACAAATGCATTTATAAAACAAAAAACAGGACAAAGAAGAGAATCAATAGAGCAAGAGATAATCCAGTGTTACAATAAACACATCTATATTTGTTGGTTCTATTAAAACTATTAAAGATTTTGTTATACTTTATTTTATTATACTCATTTTTATACAAGCTAAAAATGAGTAAGATGATTCAACTCTGACCGCTGAAGATACACTATATTGCCAAAAGTATTTGCTCACCCATCCAAATTATTGGAATCAGGTGTTCCAATCACTTCCATGGCCACAGGTGTATAAATTCAAGCACCTAGGCATGCAGACTGTTTTTACAAACATTTGTGAAAGAATGGGTCGCTCTCAGGAGCTCAGTGAATTCCAGCGTGGAACTGTGATAGGATCCCACCTGTGCAACAAATCCAGTCGTGAAATTTCCTCGCTCCTAAATATTCCACAGTCAACTGTCAGCTGTATTATAAGAAAATGGAAGTGTTTGGGAACGACAGCAACTCAGCCACGAAGTGGTAGGCCACGTAAACTGACGGAGCGGGGTCAGCGGATGCTGAAGCGCATAGTGCGAAGAGGTCGCCAACTTTCTGCAGAGTCAATCACTACAGACCTCCAAACTTCATGTGGCCTTCAGATTAGCTCAAGAACAGTGCGCAGAGAGCTTCATGGAATGGGTTTCCATGGTCGAGCAGCTGCATCCAAGCCATACATCACCAAGTGCAATGCAAAGCGTCGGATGCGGTGGTGTAAAGCACGCCGCCACTGGACTCTAGAGCAGTGGAGACGCGTTCTCTGGAGTGACGAATCGCGCTTCTCCATCTGGCAATCTGATGGACGGGTCTGGGTTTGGCGGTTGCCAGGAGAACGGTACTTGTCTGACTGCATTGTGCCAAGTGTAAAGTTTGGTGAAGGGGGGATTATGGTGTGGGGTTGTTTTTCAGGAGCTGGGCTTGGCCCCTTAGTTCCAGTGAAAGGAACTCTGAATGCTTCAGCATACCAAGACATTTTGGACAATTCCATGCTCCCAACTTTGTGGGAACAGTTTGGAGCTGGCCCCTTCCTCTTCCAACATGACTGTGCACCAGTGCACAAAGCAAGGTCCATAAAGACATGGATGACAGAGTCTGGTGTGGATGAACTTGACTGGCCTGCACAGAGTCCTGACCTCAACCCGATAGAACACCTTTGGGATGAATTAGAGCGGAGACTGAGAGCCAGGCCTTCTCGTCCAACATCAGTGTGCGACCTCACAAATGCGCTTCTGGAAGAATGGTCAAAAATTCCCATAAACACACTCCTAAACCTTGTGGACAGCCTTCCCAGAAGAGTTGAAGCTGTTCTAGCTGCAAAGGGTGGACCGACGTCATATTGAACCCTATGGATTAGGAACGGGATGTCACTTAAGCTCATATGTGAGTCAAGGCAGGTGAGCAAATACTTTTGGCAATATAGTGTAGCAACCTCCACTAAACCCAAATTCAGGTAACTTATTCTGACTCTGTGTCCTTGATTATATCCTACTCTCACATTCATCTCTCTCTGGCTCCACACACACAGCCACACACTGCTTTCAAACGAACAGATTAATTTACTGCTGTTCATTTTTCAGGGTTTTTGTGTCTCTCCTGTACTTAATGTAGGTGTGTCCTTTGATTGATGCCTAGAAGCCCAGGAGCCTAATCATACACTTCCAAGCATCATTTTTCACTTTCAGAACTGATGAATTGACTCCGGCACCGATCAGTGCAGGGTCCAGGTCAACCAGTGGGCGTGTCCATACTGGTTTTGTATTGTGAATTACTGACCATTAAGCCATCTGTTTTGTTGCCAGTTTGATTAAAAAGACCCCCTCTGATAATAAACAATGGCAACAGTAAGCAGTTTTCTTTAAATTACATGATATGCTGCTGCTTGTGTACATTTCAGTAACATTAAGTTGTAAAATCCGTTAGATAACACAGAGGCAGCCGCACACTTCCTAAAGTAAAGCTTGAAACACACTTTTTAAAAGGTCTTGAGTGTTTGCCAGAGCTTGTAGACATGAAACACTCGACAGACGTGCACACACAACTTCAGATGACATATCAGTGCTTGTAAAATAAAATTGTAATGATACAGCTATTATGATGGTTTAATGTTTAATACTTTATGTTGTTTGATTTTCACTTTGCCTACAGTGATAGTTAAATCACAGACAGACAGATTAAGACAGATTTTATTTGTCATTTTGTTTACACAAGTGTAAAACAAAAAGAAATTTCGTTTGGAAACAGCTCACTGGACAATTTCATCTGTCACAGATGGTCATGATGTCCTGTATCTTTATTTTTATTTTTTTTTTGTAGTTATGGCACTCTCTGTCCAGAGCACATTTTAAAGGATATGGACCCAATAAATTAAAGAACTTTAGGAATGTTTGGTGTTGTTTTGTTAAATTTCCCAAATTTATCAGGACTCATTAGAAATTGATTGGGTTGAGCCTCATCAGGATTTATCATTGGATTTATAAAGATGAAGTTGGAGCCAATGGTGGCAATTTAGACTGAAAGCTAAAAAAAAGTCAGAATGCTAATGTTGTTAATAATGAATCTGTATTTCCCGCTGCAAATCTCTGAAGGTAGCTGAAAGCATTAGATAACGTCTTTAAGCTTTGATTTTGGAAATCATATAAAGGCATAAAAAAAGACCGTGACCTGATCTGGTTTTCTACTAAATGCTGTTCGGTTCATTTTGGGTGAGATTATCATTAGAGGAAAATAAAAAGTCTGCTGCCCTGGATATATCACCTATGTAATTTCTTAGACATGCACTCTCTTGAATAAATGCGCATTTTACTCTGTGTTCCTGCTTAACAACTGCTCCTCCCTCTCATTGCGCTTCACCTCTCCACAATGCCTGCCCTAAAATTAAGGGGATGGGGGCACAGAGGAGGTGAGGGGGTTAAGAAAAGCACAGAGACATGGTTTTTATGTTAAATTGACTGGAATTAAGTCTCTTGCATTTTCATGCTAATTGCCAGTGCAACAAATTGTTAATTTATTCCAAAAAGAAATGCAAAACAGGCTGAAAAACGTTGCATTTTTCTGTGCATGTGACAGTCATGTGTCTGAAAAGAAAAATACTCAGACCTAACTTAGCAGGATTATCAAACAGGGTAAGCTGAGGGTTTTAAAATGCGTTTGGTCAGTATTCCTCCTCTAGTTGTATGAAACGTCCTCTTTCTCAGGCTAATATGCAACTCCCTGCACATTTTCTGAGACCAGGCGGGTTCAGGTGGTTTCCACAATAATTCCATGGCTTCTTTTATGGTTCCAGTCAAACATGAAACGTTTCTTTCCCTTGCTAACCACATAGACATCCACTGCCTCTGGGCTGTCATTGACATACACAGACATTCAGAAAGTTGAAGTTGGCGTCAGTTCTACCAGGTCTGCAAGTCATGTCTTGTCTTGCCTGAAATACGCACTTTCGTGAAAACACACACACACACACACACACGCACACACACACTTGACATAGTTATCTTGGATCTTTATAGAGTACTGCACCCTCCACTTAGTGCTGGCAGTAAAGGTCTTCCTCTGCCTTATTCTAGAGTACCATCTTCAAAGAGGTACATGCACGCACTGGGCAACACACAACAACGATCCATGCAGACTTCTAAGCGAGCTTAATCATTTCGAATTTAGCTTCAAAGAGACTGTTTGAACACATACTTGCTTGCAGTCTGAAAGCGGCGCAGCAGGGGTCCCGTCCTCTTAACAGACTTTTGGTTCATCTTAACTCTGCAACTTTGACTTTAGATCTTAGATCTCTGATTCTGATTGTTTATAAATTGTGACCTTACGCAAGAAATATAGCTTAGCATTACTCTAACAATAGGTATTTTATTCAATAATTCTCATATTTTTATCCACATCTAAGCTCAAGGTCCCCCTTCCGCCTTCAACCTGTACGACAGTGGCTTTTTTGGTCCTTATGACCTGTGACCTCTTGGTGTCTGTTAAACCCGCAGGTTAATGTCTTTAGTGTAAATTTTGAATACATGAAAAAAAGAAGCAAAAGGAAACAGTTTGACCTGTAAGTTAGGGATAAGAAAAGTTCATGTATTTAAACAGCTTCGTAGATAGATGAAGGTATGACACCGAGGTGGACTTTATTACTCAACAGCATGTCACCAGCACACACATTCTGTACATTCTGCTCATTCATAGTTTGGGCCGTTTGGGCCTAAGGGTCGTTGCCAGACAGAAGGGTAGCAGCGGAGCAGTAAAAGTTGACACTATTGCAATTTCAGGACATAACTTGCTGCTTATTATGAGGATTATTTTGTAACAAACACAAACATACATAGTTAATCAATGTAAAGAAAATTGTTTAAGCTCAACGAGGCCCACTAAAGATTACTTTCAAGTAGTGAAATCACATAAGTGCACTTCATTTAAAAGCTCTGGGATTTTCTCTAACAGCTCAGCACAAAGTACAGTATTAGCTGAAGACGGAAAATCATGTATGTATTCCAGTATTTTCTGTAAATAAAAACCTGAAAGTACAATGTGTGTATTTGCTTCATCCCCTATATAGATAGTTTCAGAAGATGCCACTCATCACATCATTTTGTACATTTTGCAAAAATAGTCAGATTTGAGCCAGACTGAACAATAGCATCTGTGAACAGCATTTATTTAGTTATGTTACAGTTTCTCAATTTCATCTGCCTCTGAAATTTGATTATGTCTATTCAAACACATGAATATGCTGAGATTTTAAGGTCATTATTGACAGTTAAGTGAACTATAAAGTCATGTCCATGCCTTCTACAGCCCCTCAAAGGTTTACTTCTAAGATTTCCCTGTGTTAAGCTTCAGATCAATTTGCCTGCTTAAAAGGAGTATCCCCACTAAATAATGCCTCCGTTATGGGTTGTTCAGGGTTATGAGCAGTGATATGTTTCTGCAACAGAAGGTGGTTTAAAGGTTGGCCTTAAAGTTTAATTTTGATATCTAGCCAGGGCATCTTTTCCTGGTCTTTGCTCAGATCCCCAAAAAGCCCTAGTTAAATTCACACAGAATGGATTTCATTGGCTTTCTTCTTTACAAAAACACAATGTAATTGAAAAAGACAGGAAAAAAATAACTTTGGAACCAGGGTGATGACAGTGTCAGGATTTAGAAACCATTTTATTCAGTCAAAGATTGGTCAGAGAAACGGGAAAGCCGTTCTGTAATCTGTTATAAACCGCTTAATGTTAAGACTGAGCTAGACGTTTACAATGGCCATGAACATACTGTACTTATGTCCAGAAATGCACAGGAAAGGTTTGGGTCACAAAATGTATTCTATCAGAATGCCCAATACAAAGTCCAGACCTGCGTACAGCAGAGAACATGTGGTTGTCTTTGTGAGCTGAAGTTCACAGGTACTTTCAGTCCAATCTGACTGGGCTCCAGATTTTTGCAAATAAAATTTGTCACATTTCCATCCATTGAATTTGAGCAACTGACTTAAAGCTGTCATTGGAGCATCAAAACATATGAGCTCTTGTGTTTTAATTGTAAAAAATTTGCATGCTACAATTTATTTTTGCCACTTAGCGAAGTAAACAGTCTGTACTTGTGTTGTGCTTTATCAAGACCCCAAAGCACTTTAGATACTTTAGCACTTTAGTAAGCTACAGCTAAGGCTGACCACCAATAGTTTGCAATGTGGGGAAGTGTCTTACCCAACAAATAAGATGTTCAGAGCTGGGGCTTGAACAAGAAACCCCTCCAGTTGCAGGAAGAGCTCCTGCATCCTACGCCACTCCTACATTCTACGCCACTGTTGCTCCAGGCACTTTGAAAGCAATTATAAATGTCAACAGAAAAGTCATCTAGTTATGCGAACAACATTCAGGAAGTCTTTTCTTGACATTCAAAATAGTTTGTAAAAGCATGTTGCACCGCCTTCGTTGGAAATACTTAATAACCAAAGGAATGTATACGAGTAAACGGGATCAATGGCAGAATTTATGAGTGTGACAGAAAACTGTGCGATAATCCACCTTTGGAATTGAACTGGGCAAGACCAAAGAGACGTTAAAATTTGTGCAACTTTCCACATCAAGCAGCAGTTCCATAGCAAAGGAATGACGACATTAACCAGTTTGACAACTCGCCATTGAAATACAGGTGGAAAAAAAAAAAAGCAACAAAGCTCAGGTTTGAAAAGTATGCACAATGTCAACAATGTCAACAGATTAATTTTCCTAATCGTTGTGTTAACATTCATTACATATGAAAAGTTATTTGAACAACAATTCCCCCAACTGAAGAGCAGGATGATGCCGAAACACACCCTGAGCTGGCAGAGTGTTAGCCTGTGACACACCGGTTGTTTTCCACTTTATCCAGACAGCTAAAAGCATCTGTCAACAAACATCATTAAAGTTCAACTCTAGCAGATTTTTTCTGAAGTTTCCTGTTAATCCAGATCAGTCTTATATGCTATATGTCAAATTTGTAAGAGTTGTGAGTCAGACAAATTTCACTGAATCGTTTCCAAAGATTTATAACTAAAGGACACACGGTAGAAAAAGAGCCAATAGCTAAACATCCAAAATAATGTCATAATGATGAGACATATGTTAAGCGATGAGTATACAGCCAGCTGTAACCCCTGGCTGTATACTCATCCATCTATCTGTAATAGCTTGTCTTTCATTATTAAACAGTGACGTGATACTATGGAATCAGTTATCAGTTGTTCGTGACAACCTCCATTACTGTCTCCTCCGCACACAAACTCACGCAAACAAAATGTGAACAACAGAGCCAAATGCCAGAGCATGAGTATTTGCCAGCAGAAGTCATTAATCTTTTCACGTTTATAGCATAACCTTTGGGAGACGGAGACTTCCTGACGCCAAGGCAGCAGGTGACAGATACACACCTATGCTTACGTTTGAGCAGAGAGTCTGAGGATAACACCCAAAGAAGGACAACTGCACGCAATCACAGGGCTAAAGGAAATTGCAATGCACTCTCATGCATTTATCCAGTATTGTAAGCCCTTAAATTCTGTTCAGGATTTAGATTTACGAAAGACAACAAACCAGCAGCGAGTAAACTCTAAATGAACGTCCATTAGAAAGCAGTGAAATGAGGCCCTCAGTAGCTGTTTGTTGTAAAGGTGGATTTGCTTCTAGTTTTTGTCATGTTTGCATGCACCAGTCATCAGCGTGAATGTCAAATTATATTTTTGTTTTTAATGAGGTGGAAGAATGATGCAGGCAACAATTAGAAAGATTTTTAAAAACAAGAACTGGTTACACAAGTTTTAATCTATTGTTGGTTTTCTCTAATCCACAAGGCCTAAACTAAACCTACAATTTCCTATTTAGTCAAGGTAGTTGTAACCCTAACAAAAAAAGGATCATTTGTAGTCGGATATTTGACTTGTCCTCTATTCTTTACTTACTCTATGCAGAACCAGCAGGTTCTGCAACAGCTTTTTCCCCGCTGCTATTTTGATTATTGAACTGTTGAAAAATCTAATCAAGTCAGAAATCAAGAATCTGCATCACACTGATGACATCATACTTGCAATACATGGCAAATTTTCAAATCCCTATAAAAAGAATTAAGCTTAGTGTTCTAATGCATTTTGCACCATGTTTATTATTCATATAATTTTTGCACTGCTCTGAACCTTCCACATCAAAGCTTTTTGCACCATGTCTCTCCTACACTGTTTACATTTTGATCACTGCTGCAATTTATAAATGGAAATGTTCATTTCAATGCTAAGCTGCTCACTCACTGTTGAAAAGCTGTATACATTGAAATTTCATTTACAATAAAGTTTATCTAAATCTAAGTCATCTTGGGTTAAGGTCAGGGCTTTGTTGAGGTCATTCAGAAAGCCTAACTGATCACACAACTGTGTCCAAATTTCATACCATAATATATAGAGGAGTCATGAAGTCCTCTATATTCCTTACAAAATACCTCAAAAACAGCGAGTTTGAAACTTTTCCACAGCTAGGCGTGTTGACAGATGAGAAATCACCCTAGTAAACATCAAAACTAATTTCAGAATTTGTCAAATAGGCAAACAGTAAACATTTGAGAAGGTTTTCTTGAAGACCCATAGCAGAAATATATGGACAATGCTCTAAAGTGGGTCTGTGAAAGAAAATTAACCATTTCTGATAGAAAGACTAATTCAAATTCTGTCAGAGGTATGACAGATGCACACTGCAAGCTATAGGAAGAGGGCGGCTCCCATGCAACTGTCAGAGGAAGAACTCTATTATTTGGTGAGAACATTTAAGCAGTGGTGTCTTATGCTTTGGTTGCAAATTGGGTATAATTTTCCTGGTGTGGATTTCATTCTCATCATTAGTGTTAGAGTATGGGTCAATGTTGCTTTTTAGCTTGATGACTAGTAGATTTGATAACAGGTAAAGCTCAGTCACTTGATGTTACATTTTGGCAAATTAATGCTTCATAATAGGTTTATATTTCGATTTTTACATTATTTCAATTTTTTAAGATTTTAATGCATATTTTTGAAGGCTTTACACTTAAGTGCCGCTCAAAAATAAATCCAAACATAATTTCAAGGGTCACAAATGGCACCATGTCTGTACTTTAGACACTAAGCATTTCTGTATAATTATGACCCTGAGTAAATTAGGAAAAAATCCAGAGTAAATTCAAAAACATGTCAATAATTTATGTTGTATAATTTATCAGGGTAGTGTTTTCTACAGTTACCTCTAATTAAAAGGGAGCTTAAATGCATTAATGAAAGACCAAATTATATGATTTCATGCACATAATGAGTGCTTTTAAACTTTTAATTTAGTGTCATATCTTTTCTAAGAATTTAAGGGATTATCACATTAAAAAATATTGTGAAATTAGAAGCTTAACTTTAGATAGAATATCTTTTTGATGTACGCTTACCAGAAAATGCCTGTAGAGAATTATTTTTATTGTAAATTAATAAAAGTGAAATGTTTATAATAATTTAAATGGAAAAGTTAAAAAGCAAGTAAGATAAAAATATAAAATATTAGTTTATAGAAAATTCAAAAGCATAAAGGGTTTAAAAATATAGGAAATATTAATTTAATTACTCATGCTTATACATAGGTTGTTCAACAGATACAAAAGTCTTTCTTTTTTTAAGCTTTTTGAGAGACAGGTGTTTTGGTTAGCACAACCTGGCTAGCAAAACCACAGCTACAATAGATTTTATTTAAATCTTTTAAACTTGGAAAAAAACATTAAAACCAAACAGATTAAGCTTTTACCACAGTGGTAACTAGAGTAGAGAGCAAATTAACAGCTGTTCTCTTGTATGAGTATTTGCACGAAGGACTTTTAATATAACTCCTTACCTCCCGCCATGTACTGTTGTTTACTAACAGATTTAAATTAGCTGGAAATACCAATGATTTGAACATTTTGTAAATGGGATGTCAGGCTAGAGCTTGAAGTCCTCTTTTAACAATAAGAAACCACTGACAATAGTTTTTTTAATCAAATTTGTTATCAAACAACAATGCTTCCAATACATTTCATTGTTCCTGAAAATAATTCAAAGGCAACTTTTTGTATGTTTTTATAAAACAACTTTGACAGATTAGTCCAATTGTCACTCAAGGTTTGTGATACATTAATTTATGAAGCTAAGGAAAATTGCAGAGAAGCAGGGAATTTGAGGTAATATATAACTGAATAAAGATGACTACAGCGATGGGCCCAACCCATGAAAATAGGCTGGGATTGATTGAAAGTGCAGGTGGTGGTGTTGAGGAAAGGAAATAGGTAATAATTATCCTTAATTTTGTTCAGTGCTATGGGTAATATTTTTTTTATTTTAAGATCATCAATTATTCAGATTTTTTTTCTGATTCTGTCTAGTGAAAGTGCAGGGTAACACAATGTGAAGAACTAGTAGCAGTGCAGGTCAACAAGGGACGTATACTGGTTCTAATCAAACAATAAGAACAGAAATAATAATATTAACAATAATAACACATACATTCAATCATTAAAAGAAGCATTTAAAAATGTTTTAAAAAAAAAAACACATTTTAAATACCCCACATTCAAAGGACTTTGGCACAAAGATTATGAAAATAATCAAAGTTAAGGAGCTGCATCATGTGCGACTGTGATAGTAACATGTTAAGCACAGGCAGAAAATAGATACACTAAACAATTAAGGAAAAGGTGTTTACCAGCTGCAACATTGTGTAGTTATATAAAGCATTATTATTCAATTTGTTGCATACTTAGTTTAAACATGTGAAAACATATTCTAAATAAAAACGTTGGCTAAAGATAGTGAAAAATAATCACGATATTTAATTATCATTATAAGGAAGAAATTCAACATTTAACAATTTAACAACATTCATTGTTATTTGTTATGGCATCTACAGGAAGCAAATGCAACTTTCAAGCAACTCTGGGCAATGGCGCCATCTAGTGGCAATCAAAGCAAATAGACAAAAGAAGGTTCAGCATGGTGTGTTTTCTAAAGAGGAACTTGACCGCATTTGGTTCCGCTTAGATTTCCCCTCTCTGCTGCAGCATCACTTATAACATTAACTATGGAGATAAAATCATACATTATTGTGAAAGTCTAGCTTTCACAGTGATGTTAGAGCAAATTATACAAAAAAAAAAACAAAATAAGCTGCTCACGTATCAGTAGCGGTAACGGACCAGAGACGTCTGTACACCACACCTCCTTCCATCAACCGCCACCACATGCAAACGACACCCCTTTATCGAAAAAGACCTTGTTGCCTAGCAACGCCCT